ATCGTCCTCTTTTCTGGGCGTCTTTGAACTAAAATTATAATTCATGAAGATTTTTTTTCTTCCAGAACACATATCTCAATGATTATTGTAAAGATGCCAAATCCTACTGTTTAGCCAATGGCCCAGTTGGTAAGTTAATCGTTGTTTTGTTTTAAATGTTAAAAATTTAACTACTGAAAACTATTTTATAGATTTTTAGAAACATTTATTTTAAAGTTCATTAAATACAGAATATTGATGTACAAAATCTATCTAGAATATTGCATGATTAAAGCTTTACTTTTTAACTCATATAGGACCACAAGGAGCTGACGGACCACAAGGACCTCAAGGTAGAGAGATTTTACTGATTATGCTGAATAATGCTAATTACATAATTGTATAAGTTTCTAGATTAAAATACTACCAATATTGTATACAACTAGTTTGAAGCAAACACATGACCAAAACCAAGGTTTTTATTTATATATTTTCTAATGCTTGTGGTGAGTTGTGACAGGTAAAGCACTTTGTTTCTGAACAGAATAGTCTGGTTCAAAATTCTGTGAAAATTGGGATTTTGAGCTTTGGGAGGATTAGGACATCCCTGAATGCACCCAACTATAATGGGTAAAGTAAAGGCGTTTGCTGGCCATAAAGGCCATCGTTAACCGAAAGCCATAGAAACAGATGAATTTAACATCATCTGATCTGTAGATCGCAAAGTCTAAAAGGGGAATTTTACTTTTTTAAATGTTTGTGACATTATACAGGCCTCAAACGTCGTACTCGTGTATACTGTAAGTGTCTATTATAAGTTTGAAACTTGTTCATTATAACTAGAATTATCCTGAATAGGATTGTTGACAAGGGATAAATATAAAAAACTAACAATTACTGAGTTAATCCGATTTTTTTTCTACTTCTTATCTATTATTACAGGAGACAAAGGTGACACTGGTGCACAAGGACCTAAAGGTAAGCATACATGTTTAAACTAAAATTGTATCATTATGATTTAACATTTATACATTCACGTGTTAAAATGATAAATACATGGATCACATTTGTTACTTCATCTGTTGGTCTCTATGCGATGGTTTCGAAATTAGTACATTATGCAACATTACTTGACAAACTTAGGCTTGACTTTTACAAAAAGGAAAGAACAAATAATAATAATAATTGCAATAATAAAAATCGACCTTGACAGTGCTAGAGAATAAAAGTTCATTCATTTCAAGGAAATGTGTTCATTACAACGATAAGAAATGAAATACACAGCAAACACAAAATACGTTCATACCAGTTTCAATTGGACCTTACCTCACAAAGTTGGAATTATTTCATGCTTTGATTGTCAGGGACAAAAAGTTCTTGTATCTTCGTTTTTGTGATCTGCGTCATGTCTTCTATGTGATTGTGTCAACTATATAAGGCTTCTCTTCGGGTCCGAAGATTAATGAGAAGTGCAGTATTTCGCATGGCTACACAGCCCCATCTGCGACCTACATATGTTGCCTCAATACAAATGTCCGCTGGTGGTCGATTTAGATTCTCTTTTCGAAGTTTACGTCTGTCCTCGGCAGTGGACTTTCTTTTGGTCTCAAGTGCGTTTCCCAGCGGACTTGGTAAGTGATCTCCAGCTGTCTCGTTTCGATGTGGGATGCAGCCAGATGCTCTCATCTATGCCAGTTGAAGCAAGCTGGCGCGTTATCTGTTTATTAAAGCGTTGTCTTGGGGCACCTTTTGTTTTTTCATCCAATGTTTAGTCTCTAGTGATGCAAATAAAAACAAAAATACAAATGTTTCTTTGAATCATATCTAGCCATGTAGCAATGTTGAAAATGAACATTCATGGTGTAAAGTGAACTAAACAAATTCTTTGGTGTCTATTTCCAGGGGATAGAGGAGAGCAAGGCCCACAAGGTAATGCTAGAAATAGAAGTGAAACATTTTAAAGTATTACATTCATGTCATTATATGATTTGAAAGGTTCTCTTGAATATGATTTAACAACAACATAACAACATAACTACAAAATACAATTTGTGCCTTTTTTAAACCTCTAGGTTATCCAGGAAATCAGGGACCAGCAGGAAACCAAGGTCCAAAGGGTACGTAAAGAGTAGCTAAAAAGTTACGTTTTGTTTTTTTACTTTACACAAACGTGACGATTGATTATAACAAAGTTTAACAATTCAGTTAAAGTCATTCAATTGGTCTGGAAGCACTATGTCTAATGCAAAAATTGTCTTTCAACAGGTGACAAGGGTGAAAATAATTATTACCGAGGTAATCTTACATTATAATTATAGATTATAAATTTAATTATAAATAACAGATAGATGGATAGATAGATAGATAGATAGATAGATAGATTAGCAGAGTCGTTTAGATAATAATGGATTATTAATGTGTAACCCAAGGTCTTTGTTCTTATAGCCCACTAAATAATATCGCTGTTTATGTATCTCAGGACCTACTGGAGCTCAGGGAAATCAAGGACCACAAGGAGAGAAAGGTGAAATAAAAAATAAGAAATAAAAATTATAAATGTGAAAAATCTATGACCCTGACGTAAACACATATTTCATTGAAAGTGGTTGCAGACTCTGACCATTGGTCATTGTTAAATTAAATACAGGCTTAAAACAAACAACTTTATCATGCTATCATCCGCTGTCTCCCTGCCTATCTTCTGTATGCCTCCTCTGTCTTCCTGTCTATGTTTTGTCTGCCTTCTCTCTCTTCCTACCTATCTTCTGTCTGTCTCCTCTGCCTTCCTGCCTATCCTCTGTCTGCCTCCTCAGTCTTAACTCATAAGAAACATAAAACCTTATTGTTTAACTTTTTTTCCAGGTGCTAAGGGTGAAACTGGTGCTCAAGGTGAGATCTTTTTTTTTTTTTTTTTTTTAGAATACAACGTTTTAGCAGTCTGTAGTCTATTTAGAGTAAATTACTCTTTGTATTTTTTTTTGTAAATATTTTAATTGGAGATTTATTTTTCTTACAGGTGAGACAGGTCCTCAAGGAGAACAGGGAGAGGCTGGCCCACAAGGTAAAGACAGAAACTTCGCATGCCTTTTTAAAATATAGATCGTAATGTGACTTCACATGACATACTCAATGTAGAAATATTAAAGAATGCCTCTAATTACTCAATTAGAAAATAAATATAAAATTATATATAATAATTAATTACTACAATAGCAATTAAAATGACTGCAGATACAAAGAGTGTCGGAATTAAACACTAATGATGAAATTACATTTATTATTCAGGTGAACAAGGAGAGAAGGGACCTCAAGGTGAGATAAGATTCTTGAGCTCACTAGTCATTGTATACACGTGTTGTATCTAGCATTCAATGGGATGTTACGGAGTTAGAGCTGATATTTCATGACATACATTTTAATACACCTCCACTTTTTTCTCCAGGTGAAAAAGGTGAAACAGGACCAGACGGTGAAAAGGGTACGTTTTGTAATAGGTCATTAATTAGCTGTGACAATGATGACAATAGTGTTTACTAAATTGTGTTTTGAGTCTTTGGCTTCAAGGCAGGTAACTCTAAATTACTTGGGACAAAAACGCCGTAAAAAAGATGCTATCTACTGATCTGAACATTCTTAACTTTTCCCTTTGTTAGGCGACAAGAAATTGTGTATTTAAAGTATAAAGAAGATTCGTTGGCTCGGAATTTTAAATAAGTACCTTGCATTTACCATGTTGAAGACTTTGCATCAAGGGTTCTCAACCTGTGGATCGCGACCCCCTTGGGGGTCGATTGACGATTTGCCAGGGGTCGCCTAAGACCATCGAAAAATATGGATTGTTATTGTCTACTCTTCTATTGCTGTATGTGTGGTTGGGGGGGGGGGGTCGCGGCAGAGTGGGGGATTGTATAAAGGGGTCACCGAGCTTAAAAGGTTGAGAACCTCTGCCTTGCATGGTATTTCATGTACCGTAAACCCTAGAATGAATAAATACAATATAGTCTACAAAATAGTCTCAGAAGGTGTCATGCTACGGTAAAGCTCAACATGCTATGTTATGTTTCACTTATATTTAAGCCTTGATGGTGGTCGACCAGAATAGCAATAAAGCGATATAATAAAACGAATGTATATGTTATTTTAAAAACAATATATTGATTTTTGTTTCAGGTGATACTGGCGCCGATGGACCACAAGGTATGCATACCTTATACACCTTTTAGACATGTTTGCTTGCTCTACTTTTGTTCTATAATCTTATTTATAGTCTTCACTACAACAAAATTCTAACTTGTGACTAAATATTTTCTGTGCAGGTGAAAAGGGAGAACAAGGAGTCAAGGGAGAGAAAGGTGATCAAGGTATGTTTAGAGAAACATATACATATGAAATTAATATAAAACACAAAAATGCTTTCAAATTTTATAGAAGTCTCATTTTTAAGCAAGCAGATTAATATAGAAAAAACAAATGTTCAATCTGCAAAAATATTACAATTTCATATTTAAGAAAAGGAAGAACGAGAACTACAATTTTAAACAAAATAGATTCTTCGCCCATCTATTCCTACATCACACTTACTCCTCAAGTATATATATATATTATTAAATTAGAACCTTTAACATTATTAACATATACATTTTTTTTTCTCTGTAGGTCCAAGAGGTGAAAGAGGAGAAAAAGGTAACTAGTATGTAGAAACAAGACGTTTCAGCGTCTGGATCTAGTTTTAGATCTAGTCTTTGGGCTGAAATCTTTCAGAATTTGGTAAGCTGAAGAAACGTTCTAGAATATGACGCTTCATCGCTTAATTTTATTTCAAATCTAGATTGTTTTTAGTTTGGTTTTGTTTCACTGCCGTTGTCACACACCATCTTCTTAGCGTCAATTTTTACTGTGCTCACCTGTTGTAATATTTTTTCTAATCTTTTCTAAATATCAATTGTTGGAAATTATCTCTCTACAATCCTTAAAGACCTTTTTTCCTATTTCTATAGGTTACCCAGGAGCCCCAGGATACAAAGGACAACCTGGAGATAAAGGTGAGTTCTCCACACGGAGAGTAATTGCTCCCAAACATAATTGTTCGCTTTCCTGACATACCATTAATAAATAAAGTTTGTTCGCTTATTGACAAAAATATTTATTTACCGCTTAATTAATTAAGCTAAATAAAGCTGTTTGTTTAATTTTTTTTCATATTTCAGGTGATAAAGGAGACCTAGGACCTAAAGGTAATTACTTGTTACTATTTACGCTATGTAAAGAAACTAGACCTAACCCTAGGCATATAACACAGTAGAATAGTTATAGGTAGTATTGACCATTGGTCTCAAGTACTCTGACTATTCCAGGCAACCAAGGAGCTCAAGGCGTACCAGGACCACAAGGACCTAAAGGTAAGAAAACTAATAGATACTAATATCTATTGAATAAATCTACATTTAACTAATAGAAAATAAATAAGTACATAAATAAAAGCGTTGAGACTTTGCATAATTATTTCTTGTACTTGAAAGAAGAATCAATTTAACGAAATAAACAATTTGTTATTAATTATTGATAATTAATTATTTTGTTTGGAATCGATAAAGGGAAATGAATTGTAATTGACTAATTGGGTGGTATAAGTTGTATTAGTCCCTTCAACGTTTGAAACAAACAATAGAAAGTTAGGAATGTGGGGAATACGCAGGAGTCATTGGTAGATGTTGATAATAGATAAATATCATCCAGGTAATAAAGTAAACAGATTTTAAAAAGTAAATATTTCAAATTAAATTTCTCAGCAGTAAAATTGAGTACAATTTTTCTCTCAACAAAAAAAAATCTTGTAGAAGTGTTCACATAGCTAAATGCTTAACAAAACCAATAGACTATGAAATAAAAAAAAACAACGTAATTTGACTTCGATGTTTTATTTCTCATGAACTATTTCAGGTGAAACCGGGGACCAAGGACCAGCTGGACCTAAAGGAGACTGTGCTCGTAAGAAGCTCATTAAAAAATTTATAGTTTTAAGAATAATTTTCAGTCCTGTGACTTGCCTTCAATGCAGAAAGCTATGTTCTGGACCAAACAAACCACTGAAACAATGTTTACTTTTGAACTTTATGACTAGAGCAATGCTCTGTTAAACATACTAGAAAATGTTAACGTATTTAGATGCCGAAACTCTAACAAACAAAAATATATTGTGTCTTATATCTTAATCATGTATTTTACCCCCCCAAAATGAGTTTATAATTACTTATTACTATATTTTCTTAATTTTATTCCCTTACTTTTATTTACAGAAAATTGCAAGAAACCATACTATTAGATGGAGCGTATAGAAGTCCAAAAACACCTGTTGAAGAATTTTTAACTTGTTTGAATTCGATGAAATAAAGAATAATATTTATCAATGAAAAAGACATACTAGTACTTTTTTTCTTTTATACTTAGGCTGAAAATGAAAGATAAAAAGGTTCTAAGTGTTTGGTCTTTAAAATAATTAATATATGACCTCAAACTTGCTGCTAAATTAAAAGGAAAAATCATAAATAATAATAAAATTAATTAGTATATATTATATATATATATATATATATATATATATATATATATGTATATAGTTATATTTATATATATAGTAACAGATGACCGTAACATCATCTGCCCTATAGAGCGCAAGGTCTGAAAGGGTAGCTTTACTTTTTTTCTACTAATAAATATTAAATGTAATTTAGTTCACATTTGTGCAATTCAAGTACTATTTCATTGAGGGTGGGCGGACGCTTATCTTAAAAATTGCTCTAACGATTTTCCTAGAAATTTAACAGTTGATGCATATTGCTGAGAAAAGAATTACTAGCTCGTTAGCCACACGAGAACCGTTATAATTTTTCAAAGTAAAAATAAATAGATGTTACTTTGGCTAGAGACTAAATCTATGGTCTATATTCTACATCGATTTTGAAAGGACTAGCGCGTTCTAGAATTTACGAATGTTAAGTCCCAAATGACTGTCCTAATTTTTTTTCTCATCAAATATTAAATATTACGCCACGGCGATGTAATCTTGCTTTTCACCTGGAGTCAAAAAATACTAGTCAGCATTGATCTAGCTAGATGATGTTATAGATGACCTTTGACCTTTGCTGCACAGAGAGCACGACGTGAGGCGATATGAATTTGAGATTTGTTACTTGTGCATTATCTCGCCAATAAAAAACGGTAGTATTCATTAAAAGAGTCTAAATGACTATTTATGGTTAATTTACTTACAGACTATACCAATTGTAGAACATGACATCTGACACTGCACGAGATAAAACTAGTAGCTATGAAATCTATGAGCTAGCTGGATTAGTTGGTATGCATAAAAGGTTTTTGGGAGACATCTGTTTATAAGATGCTGATTGAATAGGTTACTTTGGCATGGGTTACTTTGTCAAGCATTAATACAGATGGTGATAGAAAAATAATAATATCTCTTAAAGATTTCGAGTCTTTGGGAATTGATAAATATCATCAGAACTTTGAAAACACAGTGACTCACCAAGTGCAATCTGTTTTAGAACAATCTGTCAGAAAATTTAAGACGAAAAAAAATGGACACAATCATTAATTATTCCACTGCCCAATAAAGAAAACCTGAGACAATGCCAAGTCTAATGAACGATACGTCTGATCAGTCATCCCAGCAAGATAATGCTAAGAATAATGTTCAATATTCAAGAGAAAAACTGAGGAGGTCCTTTCCGAAGAATTGCAAGCTTCAAGGCAGCTAGTAATTGAACCATTGAACAAAATACAAATATTTAACATATTTAACATCAGACTGTTCAATAAAAAAATGTCTTCAACACTAAAAAAAATTAGCAAAACAAAAGTTCATAGACTTCAAAAACATTTTTGGACCGGGTTTGACATGATGGCATGTGACAAGTAATGAGAGAGCTCAACATAGCTAGAGAGAAATGTCAATGTTCTCAAAGCCTTATATCAAAATGAAAATAGCTCAGAACAACCAAATTGGATAAAGTTTATTGGGACATGCATAAGAGTCTGGCAAGAATGCATTCTCTAAACACGTCTTTTGAACAGATTTCTGTAACATTTGGAAACTCTCTCTCCAGCTCTTAATTGTTTATACTTATTATTTTTAACTATTTATTTTTACATATTTCTTGAGCATATTATAATTTAAACGCTAAAAGAATTTACTCTAGTTTGATCACAAATGAACGGCCTATTTCAAATCTCTGGCATGTTATTAATATAGACCTCATCTGATAAAATGCAGACGAGGCTTTCATATTATTTCAACACTGGATGCTGCAGCTAGAGCAGTTGGGTTGGGAATAAGGGCTGAAGAAAACAAAATACTAGTTTGTGAAGCAGATAGTATGAGGTGTTACATACAGTTAAATGGCCAAACATTAGAAGAAGTTGACTTTTAAATACTTAAGGTCAAGCATAACAAGAATTGGAGGATCAATAAATGAGATAAAAGTCCGTGTCACCATCTCAAAATTGGTGCCATAGTGTAGAAACCCTATTTCAATATTGTGAATGTTATTTCTATATTGTGAATGTTATTCAAAACTCATGTTGCCCTAAGGTGAACACTTTTGACCTTAAGTGAACCAGGGTTAAGGGCATTAAGTCAATATAGGGAGTTGGTAGCAAGCGCTTGATAGAGTCACTTAATATAGTTAGTTGAGTTAGTTGTTTAAAGAAGTTGGTTATAGATTAGTTACTAAGTTGTCATTATATCGCCATATTTCTATAGAGGATTAATGCTGACCATTCCTGAATTGAATTGTGTATCATATTCAATATGTGGTGTTATTACTTAAATTAAACTTATTTGTGTCTGCTACATCAAGTGTCACTTCCTTATTCTGTGCATTATAATATGAACCCAATGTCACCACCACTCCTACATAGATAAACCGACAATAATATCACAGCATCAAAACATAACCACAGTGACATTTATGATGTCAAAAATACAGAGGTGACAGTCCGTTTAAGCTTGGCATCCGTTGCTATGAGCAAACAGTTGACACTATGGAAGAGTAGCATCAGTAAAATTAAAGCTGTATTCTTTGCTACAGGTCTCTTTACTTCTATAAGGTTAAAACAGTTGGACACTGAACGCTGAGGCTGAAGGAAGAATTCAAGCCTTTGAGAGTAAATGATACCAGGAAAAAAAGAGAAAGAATTTGTACTTTTACTAGTCAACACTGGGTAGCTAAAAGGAGGAACTCCTCCATACTGTGTAGAGACGAAAGCAGAGCTGGTTACGTCATATTGTAAGACATGACACACTGTCAGAAGTCATCCTTCAATGCACAGTGAAAGTCGTCTAAAAAAAAAGCTGCCTGGAAATCATTGTAAAAGAATGAAACCGCCGCTCTCGATATTTAGCTAAAAACAGCTGCTGACCATGGAAAATGGAAGGATTTGGCCACGCAAACTAACACAGCACCCCTACGGTGAAAGTCAAGAAATATGTAGGTATAGGGTGAATGTTAATAAGAGATATTTAAACCATTAGATTTAAATGAATGAAAATGTAATATTGTTTTCATCTTGAAAGCATACCTCTATGGCAGCTATGGTTGCTCACCATTAAAGTATGGAATGTATTTTGCAATCAATTTTATTGTCATTCTAACTATTAATTCAGTGTTATAAAAAATGAATACTGTATTTTCTTTATCCTATCGAGCTGGATTTAGCCCATCTAGGTTTCTTTTTTTTTTCAGACACTCCAATGGCTCAAGGGAAATAACAATTACATTGTATTTTTATCATTAATGATTATCAGTAATTTTTCTTTGTCGTATGTTAAAAAAATGATTTTAAAATAAAGTATAAATTAATTAAATAATCTCATAAAAATTATATCACGTGTTTTCATTGTTCTTTTTTATAATTTGATATTCGAGTTTTGGGAGCGTTATCTTGAAGCTCCATTTTTATTCTCGACTTCAGTAACGTAAAAAAAAAGGTCTAATTAGACATTGTCTCATTCATCAGATAAAACTAATGTTACAACCAGTCCAGCTAGAGTATTGTAAGCGTACTGCTCGCATTATAATATCCTGGAGCTAGATTACTTACATCTAACATTTTATTTTATTCGAGAAGGTCTTCAGGAAACAAAATTGTTAGACATATTACTTGCAGTGCTGAATTTTACATAGGCAGAATGGGGAGCCCGTCTAACACA